TGCGCTGCTGGGAATATATATGTGCACCACTGTGCCCAATCAGTAACGTATTAAACAACATATGAAATTTTTTAAATTGACATAAAATAGTATCATACTATTCATATAATTCTATAGATTTTTTCTTTCCCACTCAACATTGTTGTCTTTGAATTTATCTATAGATCTGGGTCAGTGGTTTTTCAAATCTGGCTATGCATTAGATTTTCAGAGAGAGCTTTAAAAAACAGGTACACATTCCTGAACCTTACTCCCAGAAACTATGATACATTGTTCTGGAGTAGAACATAGCCTTTTTTAATAGACTTTATTTCTTAGGGCAATTTTAGGCTTGTATAAAAAATTGAACTGAAACCAGAATTCCCTATGCTCACTCCCCCAGCCACAATTCCTCCTATTAACATCTTGTACAGACATGGTACATTGGGTACAACGAATGAACCAATATTAATGCATTATTATAAATTAAAACCATAGTTTACATTAGGGTTCATTCTGTGTTGTTTCTTTGGATTTTGCCAAATGTATAATGTTCTGTATCTACAAGTGCAGTACAGAATAGTTTCATTGTCCTAAAATTCCCCTGTTTTACATATTCACTTCTTTTATCTTTTCCTCCCCAACCCCTGGCAACCGGTGATCTTTTTTACTATCTTCAGAGTATTACCTTTTCCAGAATTTCATATAGTTGGACTCACCCAGCATGTAGTCTTTTTAGATTGACTTCTTCCACTTAGCAATATGCATTCAAGGTTCTTCCATGTCTTTTTGTGGCTTGATACCTTGTTTCTTTTATTGCTTAATAATATTACATTGTATGGGTGTACCACTATTTATTTGTTGGTATTTATCTATTAAAGGCAGCAGCTTGGGGAGGCAGAGGCAGGAGCATGGCAAATTGAAAGCCAGCCTCAGCAATTTAGTGAGGTGCTCAGCAACTCAGTGAGACTCTGTCTCTAATAAAATACAAAATAGGGCTGTGGCTCAGTGGTCGAATGACCCAGAGTTCAATCCTTGGTGCTCAAAAAAAAAAAAAGGGAATCTTGATGACTTTGGGGTTGTTAACAAAATTGCTATAAATATTCATATAAGGAGTTTAGTTTGTAAATTTTCACCTCATTTGGGTAAAATGAGTGAGATTATCAGATTATATGGTAATCCTAGCTTTGTTGACAGACTGTCTTCCAAAGTGGCTATGCAATTTTTTATTCTCCACATTGTATTAGTATTTTTTAATATTTTTATCTTTTAGTTGTAGTTGGACACAATACCTTTATTTTATTTATTTATATGTGGTGCTGAGGATTGAAGCCAAGGCCTCATATGTGCTAGGTGAGAGCTTTACCACTGAGCCACAAACACAGCCCCCTATATTAGTATTTTTTAGAAGCTCTCCAGATAATTCTAATATGTAGCCCAAAAAGTTGAAAATCACTAATCTGTATAATTCATTTAAAGATGACAGTACAGTGAGCATGGTAGTTAAAATAGATTTGGCTTTGAAACGAGACTAGATTCTACTTTTCCTACTTCCAGACTGTAGAACTTCAAGCAAGTTTTTTTGTTTTGTTTTGTTTTTGTTTTTTATTATGGTACTGGGAATTTAACTCAGGGGCACTCTATCATTAAGCTACATCCCCATCCCTTTACTTTGCAACAGGATCTCACTGAATTGCCAAGTTACATTCCTCCTGCCTCAACCTCTGGAGTAAATAAGATTACATGTGTGCACCACTGCACCTGGCCTAGCAAGTTATTTAACCTTA